GCACTCACTGTGCCACTAAGTACAGAAACTGTAGTGTGACAACAGCAATTACAATAACACATGCTACAGCCGAGGCACAGATGGGGCACAGTTTTGTGGTCGTTGCAGCAATTGTTGTTGTCGTTGCTGTTGTTGCTTGCAGTTAAGGCAGCAACGCGGACAACGCGACAAAGTCGACGAATATTAACATGTAATTACGTTTTAAGTGCTAAAAGGTAAAATTTATACAAGAAAAAAGTATAAATAAATAAATGTGTTAAACGTAATTGAAATTTAATTGAATGTGTCAGGTGCGCTAGCAACAAGAGCAGCAAGAGCAACAACAGCAACTGCCAGCAATTGTTGACCTATGTTGTTTGGCCTACACTGCACTACATGGCAGTAGGTTTTCTTTTTTGTAAAAGTCACGTAAATAGTTGGCTTGTGTTATATTTGACCAGGCCCACGGCACAGGGCATGTGTCATTTGCTTCTGCTTCACTAATAATGACGTCAGCAACATGCTGCAGAGCATAAAATTTATGCACAACTTGCTCTATGTGTGTGTGTGTGTGAGTGTGTGTAGTCTATATGTATAAGTGTTCTGTATGTGCATATATTTTGGCATTGACAGCGCCATCGACAGCAGCAGCAGCAGCAGCAGCAACAGCAACAGCAATAGCAGCCGCAGCAGTGACAGCAGCCAGCGAAAGGCATAAAGATTAATGACCATGCGCCATTTTCTGTTGCTCCTAGAATAGTTGTTGTTGTTTATACCCTAAACACATGGCAGTTGGTTAAAGAAGAGTGTATTAGCTCTGAACAGGTATATGTAGCAGGCTTAGCTTAGCTTCTTCTGTTAGTGATTTGTGGCTAACTCGAAAATTTTAAAAGCCAAAGCTTAGAGCGCCCATTAATATTTTCATTAATATCAAATAAAAGTAGTTTGAAAAACTTTTTGCAGTTTATCAAGACCAAAAAATTGATATTTAGATTTGATTCTCTATTTAACTCGAAGACTAAATGGATTGTATCTGTTAAACTTGTTATAAAGTCTGATTAGCTTAAGAATTGATCAATGTTTGCCTTGAAATCTAGTTTACAGGGCATCCTTTAGTCTTCCCCTACAGTTGTGCTGCATAACTTTTGGCGCTTCCGCTTGTAAACGACATCGTGCCATAGGCTTTTATTGTGTTCATAGTATTTTTTGGGGTTTTTGCCGTGCGCTGGACATGAGTTTCACTGGCTGCTGTTGTTGTTGTTGCTGCTGCTGCTGCTGCTGCTGCTATTTCTTGTCTCGCAGTTTCGTAAATATTGTTGGCACTTTGTCTTAATTGCTTAAAAATTACTGACATGGAAAATGAACTTGGCAACGTTGCGAATGTTCCAACATTGAGAGGCAGCAACAGCAGCAGAAGGAGTTTGAGTTGGAGTTGAAGTTGGAGGTGGAGTTGGAGTTGGATTTGGAGTTGGAGTTGGAGCTGTATAGCTTGGCTTGGGTAGTTAGGCCTGAAGATGGCTGTCGTCGACTGTTTGCCTGTCAACGAGTCGGCTTCTGCTGCTGCTGCTGCTGCTGCTGCTGGTTGGTAACGACAAATACTTGCAAATATTATTATTATTGTAGTCGAATTTCCAGCAACTATTTATCATGCGGGCGCAACAGCCAACAGCCCCAAAGGGCAGCCCAACAATCGTTTGACAAACTTAATTTATTAATGTACAGACGCTTGACAACAAGTAAATGGCGCAGACGAAGCCGAAGGCGGGGGCCAAGGCGGAGGCGCAGGCGGAGGCATTCACACGCAGGCGAGTCTTCTTGCTTAAAAGCACATTAATTTTCATTCCGTTTGCTGATAAGTAAAAGCTGGCTTTGAATTCTATTTTAAATATCAAGTGACAACTAGCAAATACTCGTAAAGTATATTATGGCCTGCCTCGCAGGAAGTCCAGGGCATTTTCTCGTAATTGTTTCATCATGGCGCAAGCACTCAGCTCCGCTCTGTGCCGCCCCACACAATGAGTTGCCATTCAGGCAGAAACGTAGCTGTCATGCAGCTCATTTGCATACTTTTGAGTGGCGCTCATCATAATATGAAATAGGGCCAGCCCCCGCTCCACTCCAATGCCAGCATCTTCAATTTCTTGGCGTCCAGCTGACAGGCAAAGACCGTGGCAAAAATGAGCCTTAGACTGCCCTGAGCCTGGGCAATTTCAACTGAATGCCACTGATTGATATGCATGCGAAATCTAAGCATCACTTGGCTTTATTTATTGACAGGCAATTTCGGGCACAGCCAGCATTTCAATTTGCCCAATTGACAGCCAAATCAGCGCCAAAATGATAGCAGCAGGCAAATACCAGTCCAGCCATATAAGCCTGTGAGAAACCAAACTCGGGCAATCAAGTTATGAGAGCAACTAACTATATGCAAGCAGGTAAGACAGAGCAGCAGCCAGCTGACTAGCTGAGATCTGCTAGCAACTACAAATTAGTTGATTATGCTAGAGAAGTGGGCATGAGGCTTTGCTTAAGCTGTATGTTCTTAAGTTGTGTACCCTTTGATACTTTGACTCTATAGATATTCTCTTCAATATGCTCAACTCTCAACACACGCCCATAAGAAGTTTAATTCATTAAGCTACGCCCACTAAATATCAATATAAAATTGCATATTGTTTAAAATTTGAAATAGCGTTAGCCCGCAGCCAAATGAATAAATAGATAGCTGCATCAATTAGTGCAAAACTAATAACAATTTACAAATCCATGGCTTAGTTTTAATGAGCTGCAACTAAAATGCGTATACGCCGCGTGGGCATAAGCATAATTGAAATTGCCTGTGCGTAAGTAAAAAATAAATGCAATTTGCTGCAAATGTATACGAGTGTGTGTGTGTGTGTGAGTTTGTTTGTATTGTATTTTACATAATTTATTGTTGGTTTGGCGCTGTGGCTGCGGCTGCTGCTGCTGCTGCTGCTGCTTTGTTTTTCTGGCTGGCTGCGCTAATTGAAACCGCCAAATAATTTGGGCACACATTTTGACCCGCAGCTTAGCCAATTAATGACCCAATGACATGTTGTTCAATGAAAATTGTGAAATTCCAACAGCAGTCAAGTGCAAGAGCGAACAATATTGCATTGCGTATACGCCACGTGGCGCGGGGCTACAAATTGCGGCTCAGGGCTCAGGGCTCAGGCGCTGCTGCAACTGCTGCTAATTTGGGGTTCGCTAAGTGTTCATTAAATGCACAGCAACTGCTACTGCTGCTGCTGTTGCTGCTGCTGCGGCCCATTGCATTCATTTGTGCGCACATTACGTATACGCGACGTGCGCCAGCGTGCAGTTAAGTGTGCCAAGCATACTTATATATTTACTTTTTTTATGCCCTATTCGTAGCACTATTGTCGTCAACTGCAGCTGAAATTAGCTGACATTGAGGCATTGCCTTGAGCACTTCGCCTAATGAATATGCCAGGCACCCACAAAAATCCAACTTAATGCCGATTGGGCATTAGATTTGCTTTTCATGGCCTGCAAATGGAATTCATTTCATTTACCGTTTGTAGTGTTCGAGGTGGGGTGGGGCAGGAGTGTGTTGTCGCTCCACTCAATACGATTGATTGATTGAAATGTTTGCAGCAAATTGATTGATGATATGCAGCGAGGCATGCCACATGCCCCATACGCTTCAATAAGTGAGAATTTATTTTAAATTGATATAGCCATAATGTGGCAGGAGGCGAAACGGCCGGCAGGCAGGCAGGCACGCAGGCAGGCAGGCGTAAACACAGCCTATGGATTTGTCAACCCTAAATGGCTAAGCATATTAACGGCACACACACACGCACGCACGTTTTGAGCTGTGCGACAGTTGGACGCGGTTTCTGGTTGCTGGGCACATCGTTTGTGAACAACAGCTGGCTGCGCACTGTGAATGGTTTTGTGAATTGGTTTTGAATGGAAATCGCATTTCACATTATGGCACAGCAAGTCTCGAAATAAAATAGCTAAGCCAGGGCAAAGCTAATAATAACTTCAATTATATTTGAAAATATCACAACAAATTTTAAAGGATTTCAAGGCTTTGCGTTGCCTTTTTATAGAAGATTTTTGTTTGCAGAACAACAATGGATAGAATATGTAAATAAATTATTATTTCGTGGAATAATTTAAGACTTAAATTTAGAAAATGATAAAAGCATTGTTGCTCGCAATTTAAATTATATTTCTTTTTGTTATTTGCATTGAAAAAGTCAAATAAAATGGAATTAACAAAAATTTCTTTAAAATTGCAAATTGAAAATTTATGCTATTCAGCTTGAAAATAAGGAATAAATATATTAATTATTATTTAAGCATTTGTCAACATTTTTAAAATAATTTTTACTTTAAAATTTACATTCGTAAATATTTATTTTTATTATAATTTTTATATATTTTTTTGGATTTTTTTTTATTTTTATCAACTGCCTAAATTTCTAGAAATATATTTTTTTCTCTGTAGAACGGCCAAAAATTCAAATGTTTTTCTGTTACATTTTTTATACACATTTTGCTGTTGCTCTGACAACTTAAAAATGTTTGCTTTGACCCTTTCTCCTAATTTGATGAATTCTAAAAATATTTATCTAGGGCATCTTCAATATCTCATGCACATTACTCAAGTGCTTGCACGCATTCCCATCCTTTGCTTTATTTATTCTTTTGCTATGTGTCTTAATGTGCGTTTCGTTTTGTTGCCAAGTGGATTTGTAAAGAGATTTGACATGCTAAAAACTTGATTGATTGATTTGCTCAGCTCACACACACACACACACACACAGGCACACACACATAATCGTCCACATATTGACAGAATACAGCCAAGTTTTTCTTTTGGTTCCCCATCTAAAAATTGTTCCCAGCCTTGTTTTACACGTCGCTTACAAGTGGATTTTTTGGGTCGTTTATCAAAATGTGTTGATTTTTACTTCTGTTTTTTTTTTTTTTTTGGAAAAGTTTCTCTTAATGTAATTACTTACCGATCGACAGCAATGGCAACCAGATGCAAAATGGATGCCGTGCAGCAGAGGACATCGCATGAGGTCCAAATGTCGCATAGCTCCGGTCCAAGTATCCAGCCTTGGCTGATCTGTGAGTGAGATAAGCAGAGAGGGAGAGGGTGAGAAAGAAAGTGTGAGTGAGAGGTCACACAAAGTTACGGCTTGGGGTCTCCAAGTGCCAGTGAAAAAGACAATAAAAGTTGATGGCTTATTAAAATTGATGTCACGCTGGGGAGGAGTTCAAGCGAGGCCTGACCATAATGTCATCTAATAACTGCGCAGGCAACGATTGCACTGTCCTTAAATGGCCAAAGCCTTCGTCCCGCTGGGCAGGACGACAATTGAGCGTATCGTACATTCGTTGAATGTGTGTCTCAAGCTTTTGTCGTAGTGGCAAGGCTTACGTTACGTTACGTTTAGCTACTGCTTAATGAAAGCCTGTTCTGTAGTGCTGCTTAATAATCGATAAAGAAATGAGTTTCGATACGCGAATGCTAAGTTTCAGAATTCCTTCATTATATTTACTAGCTGGATTTGTATGCATTATGAGCTATCGATAATATTTATTCGTTGATATTAGATTTGATATTGAATTTATCGATTTGTTATCGATAGACAACATTTACTTCTAAAGTCAAGACTTCTGACAATTTTGCAGTAAACAATTGTGTAATGTATCGATAACGTAAAAATATCGAGCGCTTAGCTGTTATCGTTGATTCACAAATATTCACTGAAAATTTATTTTTGTTATCGACAGCTTCGTTTTATGGAATTTGTAGGCAAATTAAATATATTCGTGCGTATTTGGCAAATTAATCGATAACGTAACAACACCATCAGCTTGTTATTGATATTTTTTTCATATGCCCTATAAAGCCAATACTCTAGAAACTTTGATACGATAAATTTGACATTTAGTTTTAATTATATTAATCTTTCAATAATTGAAAACCCCCAAATAATACATATCTCGGCTGCATCGATGATTTAATCGATAGTTTTCGTTGAAAACTAATCACGCTAAGCGTTTACAGTCTTTGCCATGCTCAAATTTGAGTTTGAAGTTAACAGCTAAAAACTCTTAAGCAACTTAATTAGCCATCAACATGAGAGACTAATTTATCCTCGTTTAAGTTAAGGGGCTTCGTACTCACCTCATAGACGGCGCCAAGGGGCATCACGAGGCAGGCCACAAATAGATCAGCCACGGCCAGCGAGGCAACCAGATAGTTGGCCACATTCTGTAGATTGCGCTCCAGTATAATGGCAGCTATCACAAAGACGTTGCCTGCAATTGTTGAAGAAGTTGTACTAATTCTTTAGAGAGAGATAGAGAGGGATAGAGAGAGAGATAGAGAGGAAATGCCAATGACAGCTGCACGAACTGTTGCCAGTAGATGAAGCTGCTGCTGCTGCTGCTGTTCAGCGAACTAATTGCGAAAATTGACTTGAGCGCAAAGTTTTCAATTCAATTAAGTACGTTGGCAAGTCAAATTTAGGCGCAGCTGCAAACCGAAACCAAAGTCGAAAGCGCAAACGAATGGTAAAATACGAATATACGTAAACCTGAAGCAAAATTAAAATGAAAATAAATTGAGCGAAAAAACGAAGCGAATGTGAAATACACTTACATTAGATGTAGAAATTTATAAAAATTACATTTATTGCTGATTGAAATCTTTTAAGCTAATGCTTGTATAATACACTATGCAAGAAAAAAGACCTAAATCTAGGTCTAAAGTTGATCTAAAGCTGAGTTTTGTGGGCTGAGCTTTGTGCTAAACCAGACTCTAACCTAAAGCTAGATCTAGGATAGCGTACTACTTAAGCATAGTTAATATATGTCTCTATATCCATTACATGAAGCAATAGATTCCGCTTCAGACTCTTCAACATATTTTACACTAAACTCTTTCCCGGCCAGTTACATATTCCATGGCATAGTCACAATTACCTCGCACAAGTGTATAATGAAAACGAAACTCAAACGAACGGAATAAAGTTTGTGAGAATTACGAAAGTTCTGTGCCGCAGAGCCGTGTGGCCAAACGAAATGGGAATCTTATTAAACTTGGCTGCTGCTTGAAGCTCGCTGAGCTGCTGCATTATAACACATTTAAAGAGGCAGCCAATAAGAGAGAGAAAGGCAGAGAGAGAGAGAGAGAAACAGAGAGGCAGAGAGAGGGCAAGAGGAAGGGCGCGCTCACTGTAACCGAATATCAGTGCACAATTGCCAACGTAGTTTTGCTATGCCACGCGTGGCGCCCCTCTCTTTGCGCTTGCCACATTCTGTTGCACTTGAGCCGACGCCGACAAAAGTTCACAAAAGCCAAAATAAACGACATGAGCTAATCGCGTTGTCGTAAACTTTTTGCCCCCAAAGCGCCCTGCTTCCTTTTTACTGCGTGGGCGTGGCACAATTGACAGCCAACACTGGCGCCATCTTTGATGGCAGAGTGGAAGCTGTCTATATATATATATATATATATATATATATAATCTTTTATATACAATATTTTTTTTTGCACCCGCTGTCAAAACTACTTGTGGCACACTTGAAAGCTGCAGCAAAAGAATTGCGCCCAAGACATGCAATTTGTGGCACATAGCAAAACACAGTGACACACACGGACACCTGTCAGGTGCAACGACAAAGGAACACACATGCAATTAGACACTTCAGTGTCAAAGTGAAGGCAAGCCGAGGGTCTCGCACGCTGTCCCTCACCTGCACGTTGCAGTTGTCATTGCTGTTGTTGTTGCTGTTGCTGCTGCTGGGGTGTGACGCTTAAAGTTGTCAGCTCAAGTCAAAGCCAAAGCAATACTAGGTGAACCTAACGTGGCTTTACTATATATAAATAGTTATATATATGAAGTTTTAGGCTTGTTGCGAAGATACAAAATAGTTTCTATATAAAAATCTGTATTCAAAAAATATTAGTGCTTCTGAGCACAAATGTTGGATAATATAAATACGCGATAAATATTGAGAGGAACATATTTTTTGTAAATTATGTTTTTGCTATTAGAATCAAAATCTAGGGGTTCAAAAAAATAGTAGTGGGTACTTAAAAATTAATAAAAATGTAAAAGTAATATTTATATATATATTCTTTGAAACTTAGTAATTAGGAAAAAATATATTTAATTTATTTTATTTGTTTTTCATTTCATTTATTTTGTTTTCTATTTTTAAGGTGTTGAAGTTTAAATTGAATCTGCAGTTGATAACTAATATTATACTATTAAAGCAAATTTAATTTATTTTGATTTCACATTGAACTTTGTGGAAACACATTAAAAATATAAATCAAAATAAATAAAATCAAATAAAACATTAAAATTAAATCAATTAAAATTAAATGACTTTGAAGAATGTTTCAATTGATTAACCAACTGAAAAGTAATTAAATGCACACTTTACATAGGTTAAAACCCGTTGATTTTTTAATTAAAAAGGCAAATAAAGAAAAGAACTGATTTTATTATAAGTTAATTGTTTATGTTAATAGAATTGATTATATATGAATTGAAATTGTATTAATCAATATTACAAAAAAATCAATTAAAATGTATAACTAATAAAGAAAATCCTAACTAATAAAAATGTATTTAAATTTTGCTTGCAGTTTGTAAAACAGAAACGAGCTTTAGCACTACTCAGCATTGGGCATTGGCTTAATAAATAAGTGATGTAAGTAATTGCTTTAATTTAATTTTTGAAACAAGCATTTATTTTTATATAAGCCGAAATTAGCTTTTATATTAAATTAGAAGGAAATCTGAATTAAATTCTTCGTGCCTTTGATGCTATTTAAATGACCATTTAAAGTCGTTTAAAAAGCAAACGCCAACCATATCTAGAACAATCACTAAACAAGTCATTTTGATGCTCGCTCACGATGTGAATGAAGTTTATATGAATGAATGAATGAAGTATGAATAGACTCAAGTAGTCTCTTTGACAGAGCAACAATGATAAATAAATTAAACTTGGGAGTGTTAGTTAAAGCCCTGTTGGTTCGCTCTAGATCTAGAGTAGTGAATCCAAAAATTTTGATATTTGTGAATACAAAATTTAGTTGCAGTGAACGAGTATTAGGCAGTCAGTTACGCCTGCGAGTGTAACATTCTGACTTGCTTTCAATTGGGTCAGCGGCCGTTGTTGTTTTATTTCATTTTCTAGTGTTTTCTTACATATTATTTTCTTTTAGCTCGCTCGCAAATAGAGCAGCCATTGGATAGGATTTTGTGTTTTCACATTTCACAATTTCACATTTCGTCTAGTTTTCTTGTTGGCTGCTTGGGAAATTAGCATTAGAGCTCATTAGCATTTCCTTTTATATGCTAAATGCTAAATGCTAAATGCTGGCACTCAAAACAGCATTCAAAGCAAATGCAACCACTGCCAAGTTCAAAAGTGAGGAAAACTCAAATGAAATCAGAATAAAAATGAAAACGAGAAACGAAAATGTGCAAAAGTGAAAACCCAGAATGAAAATGAGAGTGAGAATGGAAATGGCAGCGTTTAGTGTGAAAGCGAGCGAGGCGCCAAGTTAAAACTATACAAGAGAAAATAAATATAAAAAAACACACACAAATTAGAAGCAAATCAAAATGAATGCCAGATGGGAGCAGTAAAAGTCAAAACAAGCACAAGTGCATCCTGCTGGGAGTGTTAGACTAGCAAATACCCTAAGTAGTTAGATTGTTGAGTTGACTGAAGTCATTTTGATTGACTTTGATTCATAGCTAGAGAGTGGGGAGTGCGAGTAGAATTAAAGGCTATGTAGACTATATATATATATAATATTTAATATATAATATATAATATAATTTCAAACTCCTGTTGGGCTTAACTTGTTTTTAAGCAACTTCCTCTCATTTAAAAGCAAATATCTGTTAATCTTCCAGTTATGTTTAAAATGTCAGATTATTTATTTATCATTCTGATTTTGCTCACACATTCATATCCATCATCATTTCGTTCAATGTTTTTATAAATTTTTTTGTATGCTGTATGCTTTCTCTAGCCTTACTAATAACCCATATAAGCTATTTAACTATTCAGATTATTCATAAATATGTGAACAGAGCCAAAGGAATTTGTGCTTCAAAAAGTATTGCATACCTTTGGGGGCACGATTGTGCGCCTCATCCCATCATCATTTTGCTTAAAAATTGATATATTTTGTTGCTTCTGTCTCACTCACATTTTCTCTGTGACATTTTTTCCGCTTTAAGCATTCACAAAAGTTTATGGGGTATTTTTATTATTGATATGCGACGACCCTCAGGCTAACTAGTTATTAAGTTAGCATTCTCTAACTAATGTTATAGAACTTCTGCTTTTTCCTTACCTGCCAAACATAGCCTATCGCAAAATTAATATACCCCATACAAAATCGTGCAGGATATGCACAAATATGTGAATGGGCCTAGAGCAAATGTGGCGCAAAAAAGTGTAGCATACTTTGTAGGGCGCGATATTTAGATTTTTATGCTTTGGGGCTGTTGACTTTGGTGAGGCGTGTTTAAACGAAACGAAAATGAAATCTACTTAAATTAATGAAATCAATTCGAGTTACTGTTGCCTGCTGCCTGCTGTTTGTTTGCCTATTTGGTTGTTGCTGCTGTTTTCTCGTCTGAATGTTTTTGCGTTTTACAAAAATTGGTGTTGTTGGGCTGTGAAACTGTGATTGATTGATTGATTGTCTGTCATTTTGAATACGGCAAGCCTGTCGCTGCCTTGGCCTAGTTAAATGTGGCGTTTAGATTTTGTCTTCTGTTTGCCTTTGGATTTATGGCTAAATGCGTGTAATGAATGTTGCGCAACAACAACGCGAAGCCTTATTAATAACGAGAGCTTTTCCATTGTTATTGTTGTTGTTGTTGCTGCTGTATAATAAAATCAAATAATAAATAATATACAATGGCTCGGAAGCAGCCATAAATATCAGTTACGCGTATTTTATTATCTGCAACTGAGCCGAAAATGCTGAACAGGCGCAAAAATCTTGGAAGCACTTGATGTGCCACCGCCCCCCGCGCCCACAACCCCAACGGCTGCTGCTGCTGTCATTTGGCTTGCCTTATTGAATTGTTTGCAATATTCCCCATTGGTATGGCGCGTCGGATTTGTTGGCACGCGCGCGCGTGTCTGAGACTGAAGTCCATGGCATTTATTGTCTGTGGCGCAAATAATTATGTCTATGTTTAGGCTACAGCTTTGGCTTACGCATTGGCCTTATGCGCCCTAATGAGCTTTCCATGTTTTCACAACATTTTATGGCTGGCCACTGCCGGAGGACTTACCAATTATCGTGACGAGTATCATCAGACCGAGCAGCACCGTCGTGATGGCCATGCGCAGCAGCTGCGTGAAGTCATCCTCGGCCACTTTGCTGGCTGTGACATTGATCGCTGCGCTGCCATTTAACAGCTGCCCGCTGCCATTGACTAAATCGCCAAAGATGCTCAAACCGCCCGTCTCATTGCCCATGCCCTCGAGCAGCAGCGTATCGTTGAGTAGCATTGCTCCTAGACCGACAGCCACATTCGTATAATTATTGTCCGGACTTTTGCTGCCATCGGCATCGATCAGCTCGATGGCCGTTTTGCTGCCCAATGCACGATGTGCTGCCTTGGCTGTTATGCGCGCTGCAGCCGCTGCCACCGAGGCGCTGGCCGCAGCTGCTGCCAGCGCTGCGGTGGCCAGCGGCGAGCCAGGTGAACTGTTGGGGCTGGGGAAGCCAGTCGAACTGCTGCTCGCATTGTTCTCCAAGGCAGCGGCAGCCGCAACAGCTGCTGCTGCTGCTGCCGTATTCTGAAAGTCGCCATCATTATAGTATTGATTGTTGTTATTGCTGTCGCCGCCATTTAGCTCCTCCTCCTCCTCCTCCTGTTCAGGCGCATCGACGGGCTCATCGGGCCGCGGGTCGGCTATCAGATAGGCCTTGTTATTCATGCTATTCGCTATGTAGATGTAGTCCAGTGCGTCTGCAATGCAAATTGTACTTGATTAGCAAGAGGAACGATGAGATTTAGCAGCGCTTCTGTCACTTTAGCTTGCAATTATTGACATTTTTTTGGTTTTTTTTGTTTTATAACTTTAAAAAAACTGAAGCTGAGTAAGGCCCTGCATTAGACACTCTGAGAGAGTGAAGCTTTCTTTGCCTTTTGCTTAAAATTGCGCCTTGGCGGACTCCATAAAGTATATATATTCTTGATTGGAGCATCAAGCTGAGTTGGCCTAGACATGTCTGTCTGTCTGTCTCGCAAGCCACAAAAGACAGAGGCTTGAAATTTAAAAATTTTTTTTTCTTTTTTATTTTTTTTAAGTCTCCATAACATACAGCTCGGCTTTGTATGATAGTCATATTTGACTCGATAGTCATATTTGGTAACATGAATGCCACAAAAGCTAATGATTTACGGCTTATACATTTATTATGTAGACTGCTATAAAAAATACACAGATCTGGCAATTTTTGGTTTTTGATACCTTCCTTAAATATTTATTTTAAATAGCAGAGCCTTGTGCTTCGGCAAAGAGTCACATCTGAATGTCATTAATATGCTCTAAAAAATTAAGAAAGTTCATCTCGAACAAAGTTCTTCCATAACTAATTTCGCTCAAGCAGCCGCTGCGCATTAAGCAGAGCTGGAGCTAATGTGTGTCTGTATATATATAGCATGCTGCTAGGAAAGAAGTGTCAGAAGATGACAAATGTAGCAGGGTTCGGGGTATTTGCTAGTCATGCACTCTCGACTCGAGCAGGCTTACTCCTTACTGAGTTAAAATGCCGCATTTAACATGTTTTAAAAAAATGTTCAGGTAAATGTAACTTAATTTAATGAGCTGCAGCTGGTTTTAAATATTGCAAACTTTTTATTTCATGCATTTAGCTGCAGCTACTTATGGTTAACTTAGTTTTTTTTTGCTTTTGTTTGTGTTTCTGCTACCTACCATTAAAGTTGGTCGCGCGCGCCATTTTTATTGCAGCTGTAGTTTTTGTTTTGGCTGGTTTGTTGCAGGTTAGTGGGTAGTTGGCTTAATTGCAGCCGCAGCGGAAATGAGGCGAGTGAGCGTAGACGGAAGCGGAAGCGCGACTGTGCGACTAGGCAATGGCAATGGCAATGGTCGGGCAGAGGCGACAGTTGGAGTTACTCAGACGGCTTAGTCGTTGCTGTTGTACGTACATGATGATGATACACGCTCCCACACACACATACACTGAGAGAGAGATTGAGGGAGAGGGCAGATGTAGGCAGGCAGGCACAGGCAGGATGTATTCTGTTAACGAGCTTTTGAGTGTTTACACGAAGTCTCTTTTACAGTTTTCGGCTTTCACTTTTCTTTTGACAACTTTGCGCTGCTATTGTTGTTGTTGTTATTGTTGCTGTTGTTGCTGTTGTACTGGCAGTGTTGTATATGTGTTGCCAAGCTCTGCCGGTTCTTTTCCTCTTTTTTGCACTCCTTTTAAGCTCTTCCGTTTGTTCGCATGTGTTATGGCTCGTTTATGCGCTATTTTCATATCCTCAAAGTGAATTTCACATCCGCCAGCAGCATAACTTCACTCCACTCCACTCTCTAGTTGTTATTGTTGTTGTTGATGTGGACTTGATGTGAGCGTGGGCCAATACGGCCCGCATTAAACCGCATGCATTCGCACAGCTGCAAATGAAAATTTCAATTAGAATAAAATTTGTTGTTTAGCTATCGAAATTCGAATATTTTACAGCTAAATAATTTCCTGCAGCCGCTCTACACAAAGTCTACACAATTTATTGTACGTATATCAATTTCCTGCACATCGAGCATAAAGTGTAAATGAATTTGAATATTTCTTCTTCCACATTTGCTTGTTAAATAATTTAACGCAATTTTTGCAATTACGCACAATCACTTTGCACGATAAATAAAAATGAAGACGGGCACGCAACTTGTTTTCATTTCTCAGTTAAAAGCCAGTCGCAGTCGCAGTCGCAGTCTCCGCCTTGCCCGCCCCCTCTACACACACACACAGAAATATATGTATGTGTGGCCGGAAGTTTGCGTGCGTGCGACAGGCGCCATCGCTAGCGGCAGCTCTCTGCAGCAATGAAATAAATTTAAAACGCATAAAAAACGCAAGCAAGTAAGCAGTAAGTAAGAGTGTTCGACTGGAGAGTGTGGACTAGTACGTACTCTAGTTGGTTATCTGGGGTATGGTAAGCGGTATTTAAAAAAGAAAATATTTATATTGCATATATGCCTCGAAAGAGTATACATACTTAATATATAATCTCTTGCTTTGATAGTCTTCGAGTTATGCTAAAGGCAGACAAATAACTATCTTTAAACTTGAATATCTCGATTATTAAATGAGGTATTCTAAAAAGCAAATACTTCTATTTTGCATGTGTCTTAGAAGTATATATACACAAAATATTTTTTCTCTAGCTTTTATAGTTCTCGAGCGATGCTGCAAAAACCAAGTCCTTTAGTCAGCTTTTCCAGATTTAGATGAAGAGATATAAAGATATATCGGAAAAACTATTCATATTCAAGTAAAAATTAAGTTAAGACAACTCAGTTGGTATTAGAGACTAGGAAATACCCCTTTTAACTAGGAGAAAATAGTACTTAAAGAAAAGAGCATATATTTGCTATATATACAAACTCAGTTTGATTTTATATACCAATTTTGATTTCTCTCGCTCCTTTAGTCTTCGAGTTGTGTCAAGGCTGAAAATGAATCTTAACAGCATCTAGCGCTTATGTATATGCCTACCTATGTTCCCTGCCCACACTCCTACACCAGCACGCAATTAATATACCCTATTTCAAGCAATTTCAATGAGTGTAGGGCATAAAAATGTGAGAAACATAAAATAGTAGAAGCCAAGAGCTGCGCCACGGCAAGCGTAGTAAAATGTCAACGCATGCCTTATGTGTGTCTTCTCCCTGTGTGTGCAGGCTAGTAACTGTAACTGTATCGTATATAATACTTATATAGTTTATACATACATATATATATATACAACTATATATGTGCTTATATGGTATATATTGCGGCGCCATAAACGCGTCGCGAAAATGTTGCATGCGTAATGCGAGTGCCGTCTATGGCTTGGTTTATAGCTCACATAAGGCTAGCCCCGACTGCGGCAACAAAGGCGCTTTGTTTGCCCCACTCTGTCTGCTCCTCTATATGCTGAGGTAAACTCTATAAAAAATAGTTTCTATAGCCCCTAAAGATTTATGTGATCTGCATGGCTGCATGGTTAACTAAGGCAATTAGCAAGTGTGATATATATTTTGAATGCCTTTTAAAGTAATTGCCGTAAATGAATTTATGGTGAAGTGGATAAGAACAGAGATAAATGGATGAGATGCGGTGAAGGAAAGGTAGACAGAGACAGTGGGAGAGTGAAAGCGACAGTAAGAGAGATAGTCGGAAGACACAGGTGGGAAAGGTACATAGACAGAAAGAGAGAGAGGGAGAATGAGAGTGCAAGAAAGTGAGAGAGATATGCCTAGAGAGTGGAGAGAAAGAAACATGTTAAGAGTGGCACTAGAAAGAGAGTGAGACAGGTGAAGAGTGGGTGGAGAAGGAGAGAGCGTGAGAAAGAGACAGCTGAAATGTGGGTGCAGAATGACAGAAGGAGAGAGAGGGAGGGAGAGACGGAGAGTGAGAACGATAGAACAGAGGCAAAGCAACATAGAGAGAGAGAGAGGGGGGGAGAATGAGAGTGCAAGAAAGTGAGAGAGAGATAGGCCAGAGAGTCTAGGGAAAGAGAGACATATTAAGAGTGGGACTAAAAGGAGGGTGAGACAGAGAGAGGTGAAGAGTGTGAGGAGAAGGAGAGATCGAGTTCCAGAGACAGATGAAATGTGTGTGGTGAAGGACAGAAATAGAGAGAAAGAGAAGAAGAGATAAAAAGTGGGAGGTGAAGAAGAAATAGAGAGAGAGAGAGACAGACAGCTAGTTGCAGGAGAAGCATACAAAATGACAGGGAGAAAGACAGACTCAAAGCAGGGAATACTGAAACAGAGAGGCAAATTGAGTCAGATATAGAACGAAGAGTTCCTATATTCCTATATGCAAACTGAAACGCAGGCAGATGACAGACAGAAGAACTGGCAGATAGATGTTCAGATAGATAGTCAGATCTGGCTGATCAAAAAACAAACAGTAAAAAATATATATGAAAGGATATAAGCTGTTGCATAGGCAAAATCTGACAAATTAATGAAGAATCTTATAGAATAAATGCTGGAACAAAGCCTAATGGATTGATAAATATCTATATAACTATATTTGCCCACAGCAAACTTTTGCTGCTTAAAATACTCATGAATACGGAGAAATACAATAAATACTAAAAAGCGAAAATTTCATTTGCAATTGCCTAAGCGAGCAACTCAATTATGAAAGTTACTTCTAATTACACTTTCGACTTTTTCAAAATAAAATGAAAAAAAAAAACTTAGAAAATGCATTTGAAATTGAAATCATATTCAGTTGCAGCTGTGCTGCTGCCAGCTGCAGTCGACACATTTTGCATAAATAAATTTTTTGTGAATTTCCCTCCGGCTATGTTTTAATTGGGCTTCTCGTTTGATGCATATTGTGCATTTGGCAGCCAATTAATATGCAAGTTTTGTGCTTGCGCTTGTCAAATTGGATTTGAGTTTAGTTTTAGAAGCGTCGCCAACTGCTAATTATACAGCATCATCAAGTTAAATACACTAAAATGAAGGTAGTGGCAGATGCAGATGCTGCTGCTGTTGCAGCTTGCAGTTTGCAGTTTGCAGTTTTCTGTTTGCCGTTTGCTGTTTGCTGTTGCATCGTCTCAATTGCAGCTTCAGTTTCAGGCAAGGAGCTCATTAAAAGTTGGCATTAGTTAGCACACAAAACACATGTACTTTGCCATACCTGTTACCCTTGCTTCTTCACTCTCTCACTCTCACTCCCCCGCCTGTCTCTCTCCCTTTTTACGTATTCATGTGGCACAAGAAGTCCTGAGTTGATTGGCAATCGTATTCGCTTTTGCGTAGCTCCGTTCGACTAAACAAGCTACAAAAACGTAGCATACTTTGCAGGGCTGACGATTTACCTTGCGTTCGTGCACGTGCAAAGACTTTGGCTGTGCACTGATTTAACACAAATACACACACACACAGAGACACACTCACATACACGCCCACATACCTTTAACTTTGCTGACAATTTCTCTGCGCAAAATTTTGTTGCAATCATTTTGCATGTTTAAATATTAAAAGCAAATTGCTAGCTGAGCGCTTTAACCTTCAAAAGACAGCGAAAACAACAACTAGAACAGCAACTGCAACACTTTATGTATTGTAAGTATAAGTGAGTGTATGTGTGTGTGTGTGTATGTGTGCATCTATAGGCAGCGTCCCTGTAACTAAACATTTTCAAGTTCAAAGTCGATTTAATGCGGAAGTTTATGTCAGCCATGAGTTTTCAAGGCAACACACACACTCGCACACTGTGGCTATATGTGCTGCGGTTGCAAAGTGGCATGCAGCAAGGGTATTTGGGAGCTGCTTTGCTGTGGGCGGGCTTAGGGGCTGAACTGAGCCTGGGCCTGGGCCCGGGCTTGGGCAGTTGCAAACGTGCGGCGCGCGCGTTTGAAGTGCATTTGAGTGTGAAGACGACACATGTCATTTAAATGCACACCTGTCTACATGTCAGTAGAACTCTATATGTGTGTGTGCGTGTGTGTATTTATATATATACATGTATGCGTGTGTAACTGTGGCTATGCAGCTGCCGAGTGCACTTGTTGCGGTTGGCTAGTAAGTAGTTCAGCAGCAGCGCGAGCCACTGTGACTGCATTTATTATGCATGTGCATAGCTATAACAGTGTGTGTGTGTGTGTGTGTGTGTCGCTTTTTATAGCTTATCGCATATTTATGCAGCTTGGCCTTTAAGCTACACATGCATTAGCATTTGCACTGTTCTTTGTTGAACTACAAGCTTGCCCCTGCCTCTGTGCTCACAAATGTTCATTTGTTTTTGTTGGAAAGTATAGAAATAAATGTCTATTTGATAGACTCAGGTATACTAAGGTATAAGTTTCTAATTTTCTAATTTAATTGATTAGCATTTGCAATGATATGATGATGAAAAAAAAAACAAATTCTATTATTTAATCATCATTTTTATTTATTAATATATTTGTTTTTATGTTTTAAAGTTTATTTATTTTTTTTAACTTTTATTATATTATTTTATAAGCACATATGGTTCTTTTATAATTTTATTTGTCTTAAATCTTTTTAGTTATAATTATCATGCTTCAAATTTTGTATATTTTTATATTTTGCAATTATATATATATATATATATATATATATATATATATATACATTAGCAAAATAAGAAAAGAGATAAATATTTTTAATTTTTTTTATTTTAATTTTTTAACTTTTTAATTTATATAAGATATGTTTTTATTTTTTTATTTTTGTATTCTTACTCTATTTATTTCTAATTTTTTGTTTCATTTGTATTCTCTTTTTAGTTTAATTTTTAATTTATTCTATTCTTCTTATTAATTAATTATTATTTTATTATCCCATTCTTATTATTTTATTATTTACAAATTTCTTTTAAAGGTTTTATAAAATTAAATAAATGTTATTGTATTCCATTT